CGATGACCTTTTCCCCCTCGTATGCAATGAAAAAAAAAAAAAAAAAAAAGAAAGGAAAATAGGTTGCTATAAATTAAGAAGTTCATCAAATGAATTAATTATTCTTGGCGCAAATTTATTTATTATTTTAAATAATTTAAAATTATTTAAAAAATAGGCAAAGAGAAAAATGCGCCAAGATAAATTTTTCAAATTCTCCATAAATATTTCACCAAAAATTACAAAATTTAATATCTAGGAATCGAAATATGAAAAAAATGGTTTGTTATTTAAGAAAAATCCGATTTTGTTTCAAAATATCTATGCTATATATAAATGTAATATATATCCTAAGTTTTCTTCCGAGACATGGAAAACGCAAGTTAAATTTCTACAATAGGTCCAGTAGAAGGAAGATATAGAACTGCCCTCTCTCTCTCTCTTTTTTTTTTTTCGTGCAAAGTGTACCTACTTGGTGTAACTGAAAGCCTGTCTGGCTAGCAGTTGGGAGATCTAACGTTCGAAACCCGCTGAGGACATTGCACATTTTTCATGTTTCCTGATTTGACAAACGTAAATCTAAACAATATCAGTTTGCTACGATGAATGTTTTATAAAGAAATATAATTATATAATCATAATGTATAAAAGAAAATTAAATAATCTATTAAAAAATCAAACTATCCACACTAAAGTGAGTTCGTATACTTAAATCAACATTTATTTTTGAAGGTGCTACAAAAAAAAAGGTGGGGGGGAGGGCTATAATATAGACTGCCTCGCATACATGAACTTGATATAATGGACGCTTCACAGGATAAAAAATAATTAACTAATTAGTCATTTTTTTTTCTTCTACAGGAAATGGGAAATGTGTTTGTGTATGTTTTTAAATAACCTTAGACAAATAATTTTAGCAAAAATAATAATAAATTATAATTAAATAAATAAATATATTAAAAACAAACTAGTCTATTATTTTTTTTTCCTTCTACAGGAAATATACGATTTTAAGCAATTTCATTCTGTGATTTTTAAACAATCTAGAGATTACATTTTGAACAAACTTAAGCATACATACAAAAAAGCAAAGATTTTTGTGGAGAGATTTCAATTGATTTCAATGTTCCTCCTCCTGACGAAGTGGCCTTGAAGTTGATTGAATTCCTTTTCTGTCTTGTTCGATTTGCTTTAAATTTCGATAATTTTTTTAATTTAGGTATTGCTTGTTTTGGTTTTAACATTTTTTAAAATTCTTTATTGAATTTATAGAATTATTTGAAATTTATTAATTATAAATTTAAATTTTTGGTCTTTGTGAAAATTAGTTCTAATTTTTTTTTTTTTTTTTGTTTTGTTGTCTTTCCTGATAATTTTCAGCAGCTTAATGCGCGAAAATGCTAGGCATGTTTTTTAAATTTTGTTTAAAAAAAATTGCATTGTAATATAGATATATATTTAAAGTTTTAATTGAGGGGTAAGCAATAAATTAAATTCAAAAAATGTTTTAAACATTAGGACTCCAGAATATGATTTCAGAAACGCAGTTTAGAGGGACGGAAGGGGGACATAAACTAATATCCGGGCTAATGCAGTTGTAAAGCATCTTACATAATTTCAAACGATTTTTGATATGAAAATTATTTAAGTACCTTACATTAATAGAAATTATCGAAATAGATTCAATAGGAAGTCTAATTTTAAAAATCTTGAATTAGAAAATTTTAAGTTTTATTAAATTTTATTCAGTATTAAAATAGTTGGAAAGATTTCTCTGAAATATTAATATGCCCATGGAAAAATACATAAAACTTTCTTTATATTCTGAGAAGAAATTTTGAATTATTGAGAATTCATGAAAATTATTCGAATTACATAGCATATCCTCTTTTAAAACTTGAAAAAACAAAAATAAAGTTAAGTCAATAACTAACAATTTGTCTTCCTGATTTTCGAAGCATAAATAGTTTTCCTATTTGCCATGGAAATGTTACGAGGTTTTTCTGGGAATACTTTCTACATTCACAAGGTTCGTTAGCCAAACATCGAGGTTTCTGGGAAATAAATCTTTTAATAATATGCGTATGCAACATGTTCATCGTTTGCTCGTTTTCAGTTTTCTTTGCGCACGAACATAAATTAAAGACCAAGCGACTTTCCACTGCAGAAAGTCCCCGTTATTAAATAGTGAAGAATCTGTATGTATGTATGTATGCTGTAACAGCTTTAAAATTATTAAAATCTTGTAGTTTAAAATAAATAATTTTAATTAGATGAACATTAAGGTATATATGAATGGCAATGTTTGAAACCAGGTTCGAGTGCCACGTGCGACTCTAGCACGAAGAATGTATTTTATTTTTAAAATGTTAGAACTCGTTTTTTTTTTCTTGTTTTGTATGTCGCCATTTTGAGCGGTAAATAAAGTTTTTTCTGTGTTCCATCATTGGAGTTGCTTCATATTGCCAAAGAAGTATCACAATGCATGTATGTAATGTATAAATGCATATATGTTCCTCGCATTATGAAAAAACAGCGGTATTTAGAGCCACCAAATTTTGGAGACACATAGTTTTCCATCCGGATATATGCACCTTGAAGCCCGGACTTTAAATTTCGAATTTGGTTTTTAATTATTTTATATTTTGTGCAAAATTAAGGAACTTTTGCTGAAAGACTCAACAATATAAAAAAGCTTTCTGTTGCCCTTTGGCAAAGTGTAATATATTTATGTTTCAAATTTAATCAGGAAACTGAAATATAAAAGAAGTATGTTGCTATAACGTAAAACGTAAAATATTAGCCTTTCGAATTTAATCCTCAAACATCGTGACTTACATAAGATGTGTTGCTACAGCCTGAATTAAAACATTATTATCTTCCACGCGGCAGCGTATTGTTGTTCAGCAAAGCGTAAAATAAAATTTAATGACAAATTTCTAATATTAATTAACAAACTAAGCATTTTAAAAGCAATAAACCAGATTCATTTCAATTATTATCAATTACTATCTGAATTCATTAAAAATCATCCTATTTATTTCCTTTTTTATAATAATTATTTTAGGCGACTAAATGTGCAAGTGGCTAGTATTTTAAATAAATATGCATTTATTATTATTTGTTTCGCAATGAAATGAGCTTAAGGTAATTTTACGAAATCTAAACATTTTAAGCAATGGTTTAAAAGAAGAAAAAAATATTTTAAATTCTCGCTAAGTGTATATTATTGGTGTTAAAATCCGGTTGCTTGGAACTAAAGTAAAGTTAATTTTGGACACTTCCAACATTGTTCTGAGAATTTTAAACCTTCAGAGAAAAAAGAGAAAGAAAATCGAGAGATCGTGGCGATTTTCATTACTTATTCATGCGATTTTGCAAAAGGAAATTGATGATTTTCAAGATAGAATTTATCTATTATATGCAAATAAAGTTTTCAATCGTTAATTAGCATTTTAATCTTTTAATCAATGAACTAAATGCACTAGGCATTTTGTCCTCAGAGAGATCTAGGTTTTAAGGTTGGTGCGAACTACCGATAAAATGCGGAAGGTAAAAAAAAAGTGGGCAGTTTTCTCTCTTTCACTCGGCATTTCTTCACGCAACTCAAGTAATTAAATCTAACAGATAAATCAAGAATGCCAGTTTTAAAAATTTATCTATCGTTTAATTTATTTTAAGGAAATTCCATGTACCAATTCAAATTATAACAATGGTTTTATACGCGCTAATTACTATATAATTAAGTATATAAGGAATTACATTACCCTCAATGTCGAAGTGATAACAAGAATATTATTTTTTTAAAATTTATTTCCAGAGAAAATTCATTTGATGATATTTATAGCCGATTTATGAAATGGTATAATTAGCATATGAATATGGTAATTCACATCTTAATGAAAATGCATATCCAAGTGCTATATATTTTATGAAAACTGAAAAATTTCAAACTGATAAATTTAATTACAGGCACTTAAAAAACCAGTTAATATTTTCTTTCTTTGTTCTTTTCCAAATTCTTTTCTTTTTATGGAAAAAAAGGGGGGATAAAATTTAAAAATTAATATTACAAAGTGTTTTATCTTGCAGATTTAACTTTCAGAGCTAAGATTCCTTATTATCTGTCATATGTTTATAAAAGTTTTTCGCCCATATAAATACACTAAATTATGAAGAAATCCCATTCTCCTATTTAATTGCACATAATATTTTAAACTAGTTAAAATTTTATTGCGTTTTATAATTTTTAGACAATGTACAGTTTTCTAAGAATACTATATCAAATTAAAAAAAGCTGTAAAGCTCAGTTAGACATTAAAAGCAACATACATACTATCTTGTACTATCTTATCGTAAATTTATCAAGAAACTTCAAATTCGAAAAAATGAGAAATAATTGTTGAAAATGAATGTCAATGGGGAAGGAACAGATTTTAAATAGCAATAATTCCATGCTTTAAAGGTCAAGTTTAGCAAATAAATAAAAATTTAGTCTCCAAGTTTTCTTTTTTAAATAATGACCTACTACTATACTTTTCATTAAAGTATGTCTTCTTCGAAACAGATTCTGTGGCGATAAGAATTCATACAAGTTTCAAATACATGCGCAAGGAAATAATTCGGTTTGATGATAAGACATTTAATGTGAAGAATTTAAATTTCTAAGTAGTTGTTTTTATGCCTAATTTATACGCAAAACCTGTAAATATGCTAATTTAAACTTCTAAAGTTCCAGAAATTTCGCAATTCCATATCAAATTCTGTTCCCCTTTTATTATAAATCTTAGATGTAATTCTATATTCTTTTCGTCTATAATTAATATAGTCTTTTCATGTATAATTTAATTTAACTATAATGAGTTATGAATAGATGAGTTATGAATAATTTATCTAAAATTATTATTTTCACAGTGGTAAGAACGTATATATTTTTATTTGCTAATTTATTTTTTGTTTGTCAGAAAATATTACGTGCGTAACTAAAAATAATTTTAATTTAAAATATAATAAAAACTCACCTCATCATGACACGCTTTATCCCACTGTAATATCGTCTGACTAACAGGTGATAATATTTCCAAATCTCCCATATTGGTGTTTTATGGAGAGAAAACTTCTAAAGTTAGTTCTTCAAGTTTGGGAAACAATCCTTAACTTTAAACAAAGCCGCGTTAAAACCAATTCCAAAACAGTTTGCCTATTAGCATATAAACACAACACTCAATAAGTCACCTCACAGTACGAAATGCGTCCATGTGGTTCTGCAAGTTGAAGATCCGACATCATCCATCCTTCTATCTATTAGCTTTCGCCCCTTCAACTCCCAACACTCTAATGAACAGAAGAAGCAACAGCGAGTTGTTTGGTAGAGTTTCTCGTCGACAGAGGGCGCTCAAGATAAAGAGAATGATTTCTCTTGTTATTTTCCTTGATCACCTTACTTTTTAAAACTTGATGGAAGTGTTGTGCACACACACACACATATATATACAACTTTTCAATGTTTTTTTTTTTTTTTTTTTTTTTTTTTTTTTTTTTTTTTTTTTTTTTTTTTTTTTTTTTTTTTTTTTTTTTTTTTTTTCCATTTATTCTGTACAAAGAGCAGAAATTATTTATTCTGTATATTTTGTATTTTTGGCGTTTTACTTCTAATAAAAGTCTTGCCAAAAATCAAAATTTTTAATGCAGCTCATTTTGCTGAAATGGTTGAAAAATGATAATAACAACACACATTTTTTTTAAACAATTTTATTGAAATAACAATAGCTTTTAGAACTTTTTTAATAATAACGGCTCATTTTTGAACAAGCATTAATAATAAAAGAATTATTTATAACTGCAAAAGAATTAATTTTAAAAATAACATTTATTTTTAACTATTTATTTGAAAATATTAGAAGCATCTTAGGTTCTAATTTTTTTTTTTTTTTTTTTTTTTTTTTTTTGTTTTTTTTTTTTTTTTTTTTTTTTTTTTTTTTTTTTTTACATTTGTTTGATTTAGGAAATTTTTCTTCTCCATAAGCTTTAAAATTAATGTTTAAAAACACTGTCACTTGTGTTCATGTATTATTAAACATTCTTATTTATAAATTTGAGCTAAATTAACGGTTATCATCACTGATAGTTTTATTTATTTTTATGATTATAATGGATTCTTATTTTAGTTTAATATAAAAGATTTAATAAAATAAATAAAAAAATAAGTTTAAAAATGAATTACAAAAGAAGAGGTAAAAAAAATCTGAAGGCTATCAGATTTTATATTACGCCCAAAGAGGCTTTTTTTTTTTTTTAAATCATTCGAACTTAAACATAAAATTCAATTTAACAGCAATATCGCAAAATAATTTAAAAAGAGCATATCTGTAGAATTTCCGATACACAGGTTTTTTTTTTTTTTTTTTTTTCTTTTTTTTTTTTTTTTTTTTTTGTTTTTTTTTTTTTTTTTTTTTTAACCTTTTTTTTTACTTTTTTTTTTTTTTTTTTTTTTTTTTTTTTTTTTTTTTTTTTTACCGTATATGCTACTGCTCGTTTTGAAATCTTTGAGTTTCTGACTCAGATAGTCCTAAGTGCTTTACAGAATATGAAATAGATAATAAAACAAATTTCAAATTCCAAATTTGGGCTTCCAGATGACCATATTCTGGAAGAGACGTACGTTATTCAAAATTTGATGGCTCTAGGTACCGCCGTTTTATCACTATGCGAGAAACATCCATACATTTATGCAAATTCTTCATTACATAATTTCTTTAAATATAATACACGGCGATAATATTTGGTGGCAACAATTTGAATAGTGATTCAGACTTTTCAAGGTTTCAACGCAAAATACCAAAACGAAATTAATAGCCCATCTGGACTTACGGCCTTTGGGCTAAAAATCTAAGTGTTAAAACTTCAAATGATAGCCTATTGCAAAACATAATCTCTCTAATCTCATACGAATCATTAAATTTTGTGACATGAAATTCACAAATAAATACAATCATATGAGCATTCATATCTTCTTATGCGCTTATATGTAAATTTTAAGGAAGCTTAATTTTTTTTATTACTTTGTAAAAAACATTTTTAAGTTTAAAAAAAAGGAATTCCTTTTTATTTTATGGTTTATTATTATAGGTTTTAGGTTTATTATATTAATATATATAATTAATATATGTTTTATATTAATTTGGTATTTTTATACCAAATTATTTTGACTTACAATACTATTGTATCTCACAGAAAAATATTTTATTGATTAACGAATAGTTTAATGTATATAAAAGTATTTAAATATGCTATAAATTATGTGGATTGAATATGGCGCTAAAAGAAATAAGGCAAAAACTATCTGGCATATTCATATTGTTTTTAACTCATTCAGTTTTCTATACTATACGTAAAGTATTTTAAAATTTTATATTAAATGTTACTTATATGAAAAATATTTTTTACTTGAAAGATACATTAGAACCATTGAGCCCCCCCTCACCAAATCTTAGAATGGCAAATCAGGAAAAATAAATCAAATGTCTTCAGCGGTAAAATGATTTGGATATGTGAAAACTGGGAGTACGTCAAAACGCGTGCATCTTTAGTTCTGTGATTACGTAACTTAACATCCCCAAGGTAATATGATGATGAGGAAAATGTGAAAATTTGTCCCTTTTTCCCTTTTTAACGGCAGATGTTGAAATATCAGTTCTTAGTTAAAACAACACACGCAAAAGATCATGACCAAACATGTCGTGACCAGTTGAAGTCACAAAAATAGTTTGCAGAATAGTCGTTTTATGTTTCGTAGCACAACGGAAAGAGAAACTACTAAATCTCACTTTACCGTAGGTGCGTTTATATTCGAAAGTGTGCGCGTGTCATTGACATCTAAAAAACATGACCGGGGGGGGGTTAAACAAAAATACAAAAAATAAATAAATAAATAAAAGCACCTTCGGCATGCATAACTTTAAAAAAGAGGTAAAAAATAAGCAATAAATGATAAAAAAATCAAACGGAAAAGAAGAAAAACTAAATCCCGTTAGAGTCTTCTCAACCGTGAGTTATGATTCCAGCGCCATTTATGGTCATATGCATTACGCCTTAACAAAAATTCAATGATTCTCAATATTTTAATGATTAAATGCTTTGAAGAAAGTTCCGTTTCAGTTTTGGAATTAACCCTTTCTGATAATTTATTATTTAACACAAGCGTTCATGTGCAGTTTTTCATTTACATCTATCATAAATGTATTAATGTTAATTTATGCGAAAAATAATTCGCTAGTCCAGGTCAATGAATGCGGTATATCATCATACAAAGAGGAATTAATTAGGAGCGTGTTGCTCATGAGAATTCAAGTTGCTTAGTATGAAAGTATTTTAAATCCCAAATTAATTTTTGTGGTCAAAATTAATAGATTTGATTATTTTTAGCATTAAAAAATACTAGAAACAAACAATTACACAAGATATTTTTTTAACTCATTTTCTGCAATTCTTCTTTTTTTTCGGGTAGGGGAAAAGGGTATCAGAAATACATTGATATTCTACTTGCTCAGACTGGAGCTGTCTTACATTCCAATTACACAGGCCAAATTTTTAAGACTAATTATTTGGATTGCAGATAGCCTGAATTCTAAATATCCGGATCATTTTTCGAAACACCCGAGACTCAAATTGAATTTACTCTAGATTCCAGTTATTTGGATTTATTTATTATTTTTTAGTGGTAGTTACTTTAAGAATTCCACAGTGTGTTACACGAGGTTCACAAAAATTAATAAATATCAGATAGAAAATAGCTTTCAAAATAAAGAAAATCGAATTATCCTTATCTTGAGAATATTCAAATAACCTATGGTTCCAATTATTTCTGATGATTGCAATTCTAAAGCACTGAAATATATTAAACATAACTCAAAGCATTCTAAGAGCTAGAACTCCATTAACGAGCTAACGTAAAATGACCACCTCAGTCAATATAATGGTTAACGGATTATATCTATATATACATAATATAACAAAAATGATGCTTTCGAGTTGGAATTCCAGGAATGACATTGAACGTTTGTGATTCTAATGTTTTGGGCGATTGAGGATACTTCAAATCCACTGATTTCGTTCGAGAGGTTGACGGGAAAAGGGAATGTTTAAGTGGAAGATGGATTTCATCCCTTGGACTGTTTCCAGTCGATATTAGAATGGAATTGGATAGATTTGTACTGTCACTATTGGTACTAATAATTTATGATCAACTACAAGTGCACCTCTTAATCTGTTATATATAGTAAAATATAAAGATAAAACCTTGAAGCTTGAAAACTGCATTGAATGCAAACAGTTAAACTAACATACATGCGTTTTATTTAAGCTATATTTTTTCTAAGGAAAATATTACGAAGATTTCGGACTATGCCCAGAATATTTATCCGGAATTTAATCTATAACATATCTTAATTATTTTAAAGAATGAAATTTTTCCACATGAAAAAATTTAAAAGAAAATCTGAAACCTTTCAGATTTTAAATTACGTCCAATTATTTATTAAATATAATGTTCTTCGTACTTAAACCATGAAATTCAGTTCAACAGCAATATCGCAAAATTATTTTAAAATGAGCATATCTTTAGAATTTCCGATACAGAGTCTCGCACACTGGAGATAAAAATGTTTTCTTTTTCCTTACAGCGTACCATTGCTCGCTTTGCAATCGTTTAGTTTGTTAATCGAAAATTCGTTGAAGTGTTACAAAATGTGAAATCGATAATAAAAACAATTTCAAATTCACATTAAGTCTTCAACATGCCCATATTCTATGGAAGATTACGTTATTTAAATTTTGATGGCTCTAGGTACCGTTGTTTTATCACAATGCGACAAAACATACTACAATTCATGCAATTTCTTCTTATTTAATTTCTTTAAATATAATAATACAGGGCGATAATATTTGGTGGTAACAATTTGAAAAGTGAAACAACCCTTACCGTGAATCGACGCAAAATGCCAAAACAAAATTAATAGTCCTTCTGGGCAAATAAATTTCCCTTTATTGAGGAATTTCTCCTTTGAAATAAAAAATATGTTTCTTCAATTAAAAACAACCTACTCTAAAATATATACCCCATTACTTATAATTGTATTTGAAAATGCTTTTATGACTTTAGAGCAATTCGTTTTGTAGACAAATGCTGAATACTTATTTAGCTGCGATTTGCAGACGATATTCCAAGACGAACAACTTCTACATTGAATCAGTTATTAAAACTGTTGGAAAGAGACGAAAAGAGATTAAATAGAAGAATTAAAAAAGTAATAACAGAGTCTTCATTTCAATAAATGGCAATAAA